AAATAAGGTGGGTGGCTCAGCAGCGAAGAATGCTTACTGCCTTGTTATGGCTGGGGTTAAAGTTAGGGTTCGGTTCCCAGCACCCACACGGTGGCTGCCCAATCGTCTGTAAGTCCAGTTCCTGGGGATTTAATACCTCTTCCTGTATATGCACAGTAAACAAACACAGGCATATACGGAAATTAAGAGAAAAATCTTAAAAACAAAACAAAATAAAGTGGGAAGCAATCAAGGAAGACACCCCTTGTCTGTCTGTGTAAGTAAGTACACAAGCACATGCACACCTGTACACACACACACACACACACACACACACACACACACACACACCCAACAGGAACACGTTCAGGCATGCACACCATACACAAGTAGCAGGTAAAATGAGGAAGTGGAAGAGAACAGGGACACACCCTGGGAGGCAGGAAGACTGTCATTCCGTCCCACTGCTCCTCTACAAAAGCGCTAAGCCACCTCGCACACAGGTGTGTGCGGTTTTATCCGAACTGCGGCACAGCAGGCCTCCTGTGCGAGAGGCACAGATTTGAAACAGGTGAGCCATGTACCTGAGTCAAACACGTGAGCCTTCTAATTTTAGAATGACTTCAGCCTCACACGTGGGAAAACTGTAGACAATGGAACGGGGAAGCAGTTTGAAGTTCTGAAAAGCTTTTGTTAAATGAGGGCAGCGACGAGGAGAGTCCTGGCTGGCTGGCTGACCCACGTTCCGCCTGCTTTGTAAACAAGCAGCGCCTTCAAAGGCTTTGCCCGCTAATCTGACCTGCCCGCCTTCTGTGCAGCCCCAGCTCTCCACAGACTGGAGTCCGAAGTGCCCAAGCAAGCGAGGATGGTGACGTGCCCTACAAGGAACTCCACAGTGATGTTTCTTTGCTCATCATATTTGAAAGGTCTTCCAGACACTAAATTAAACAATCTGGCAAACACACTGAGGCCAGATGGGTGTCCTTAGACCCCAGCCAAGGTGAAGGATGAGGAGTCAGAGGTGTAGACAGCCAATCTGAGGAGTGTGCAGGCCAGTTGGAACTTGGCTCCCCGGGGCCCAGAGGGGCCCTTGACACACCTACTCGGTCATTACAGTGAGTCTCATGAGAAAAGAACCAGATGAGCGGCCTGGGAATGTGTCCCACACTGCTGAGGCGAGGCGTGTGGCTGCCTGGCAGCTTTGTGACTGGGTGCACTCTGTCCCTTTTAAAGGGGGCATTGAAAAGTGCTTTTGGAGTAGGTCAGAGCTTGTTCCTGAGGAGGGTGTAGCCAGCGTGCTAGGTCGTGGGTGCCAACACCCTCACCTGCCTCCAGCTGATGGTTCTCTTTGGGTTCATAAACAGACAACCAACAAGGATCAACGTTTATGTTCCAAACTGCAGAACGCCGATTTCACTCCAGTGGCAGTTTATGGTCCAAATGACACACGGAGCAAGCAATCAGTGACACTCCCAGGAAAGGTTCACAGACTGTGTAGTCACCTGCGGGGTGGGCTCCTGGAGGGCCAGGCCAAGATGTCCCATTCTTTATAGGATTCTAACAACCAGAGGGGTAGGATCTGAAGACACAAGAGTATCCTTGGAATGTAACATCCCAAGACGCAGCTGCCCCTTCTGTAGCCAGCAAAGACCCTCCCATACCGAATGCTCAAGTCCGTACAGGAACTGCTATAGATTATACACGAACGTGACATGTGGTTCTCACACATGTAATATATATATGCATATATATTTTTGAGTGTGTTTCGTGTGTGTGTGGGGGGGTGTGCACATGCGTGTGTGAAGGCCCGAAGTTGACACCAGGTGTCTTTCTGTGTTTTTTGAAGCAGGGTCTCTCACTGTTTCAGCTAGTCCAGCTAGCCAGCTTGCCCCAGGAATCAGTTGTCTTCACCCTACGTGCTGGGATTACAGGGAACCACCATGCTTACCCATCTATATCCTTCCTCAGGATCCTCCTGAGGAAGAGCTGTGATCTTCACAATTCCACCAGGCCATCTCCCAGCCCTTCCTGTACATTTAAAGTTACTTCTTCATTACTTCTACACACAAAGCAGTGCATGAACAGTGGCCATACTGCTGTTCTGTAAACATTTAGGGGAAGACAGTCTATGCATGTTCTATGCTTGCCATTTGTGCAGGTGTTTTTGAGCTGTTGGTCCTTTGACTTCTAAGATGCAGAGCCTGTTGGTATGGAGGGTCAGCTCTGCATAGCAGTCACACCACCACTTCCCTGCCCTGGCTCAGGGTGGGCGTCACCAACTGATCAGTGACTACAATGCCCCCTAAAACCTGAAGGCGTCCTCACAGTCTCCCTACCAGGCCACCAAGGCCTCTCTGTGTCCATCAGGATGGCATGTGGAGATTCTGTCTGTTTCTCCAGTGCAGTACCACAGATGAGGAAACTACTCTAAGCAGGGACGTGAGGACTAACCTGCTCAGGAACTTGGAAACTCTGAAACCAAGCGGGCTCCACCGAACAGATCCTGGCCTCCTCCCCAAGGCGCCGTGTTCTCCACTGTCCCACCCAAAGTAGATGCCGGAGAAGCCTTCGCTGATGCAACCTGGTTTCCCACACCTCTGGTACCCTCCACCCTCCATATTTGGGACTCTAAGAGAAAGAGCTTACCAAGAAAGGCCAAGGACAACTGTCTGCTCTAACGGCATGCATGTTTTCCCTAGTGCATAAAAAAAGCCCATGGGATAAACCCTGTGTTCCTCTGAGCCAGTGTCCTACCTTTAGGCTGGCACATGGAGCCTGCAATTTTCTCTCCACAATGTTCTGCAATGTTGGGGCTTCCCCTGCAAGTGCCAGGGGCCCTTGTTTTGCCATTGTCACTAGGGGATATTTGCTTCTTGTTCTGGTCAACAGAGCAGACAGCCATGCCCATTTGATACTGTCCTAAAAGTCCTCATATTAATGCCTAGTGGGTGCTTCTAAAATTTAGTGTGTGATCCCACCGGTACCCAGGGCAAAGGAGGAGGGAAGCTCAGATTTTGAAGTCAATCAGTATATAATGAATACATTTTCCAAAAATAGTGTTCACCTGAAAAGAAATGCAAGTATCGGGCAACATAAGAAAATGCCAAAATAATCACAAATTAAAACTGAGGCCTGGGGAGACGGCTCAGTCAGTAAAGTGCCTGCTGTTCGCACACAGGGATCTGAGCTCAATTCCCAGAACCCTCCTTGAAAATATGGATGTTGTTGAATGCTTTTAATCCAAGTGCTCAGAGGCAAAGACAGGAGGGTTTGGATGGCCAACTGGTCTACCCTAATTGGTGTGCTCCCAAACCATTGAGAGACCCTATCGCAAAAGAGAGGGACAGTGGTTTCCAGGGTGCTATCTAAAGCTGTCATCTGGCCTCCACACGCCTGTGAACAAATGTATACCTATGTGCACATGAACCCAAATGTGCACAAGCACATCTGAGCTGCCCCCACCTCAGAATTTCAGCCCTGGAGATGGCAGAGAGGGGTGGGAGAGACTGAGCAGTCCTTTTGATAAGATCACCTAAAAGAAGAGAAAGTAGGCAGGCCAGCCCTACTTAGTCACTAACCTTTGGAGAGTTTACTATGACCCAGTCACCACTGTTTGAACTTGACTGCTGGCCCCTCCCCCGGGTGCCGGGACTCAGGTTATAAAGTGTGCAAAACTGAAGAGAACCAGTCCCGCATCTAAATTATCCACCCAACTGAGAGCAGCCCGAGGCCAGACAAGAAGCCACCTCCCCTGTCCCCAGAAAAGAAGTGGCTTGGGGCCTTCTATAGAGGGTACAGTGTAGCTTCTTGGTCCTGGCCTGCCATCCTGAGCCTTCAGGAATGCTCAGCCATTCGAGTCCCAGGCAGCATAGCAGGGAACTGACTTGATTTGGGGGCCTCTGTGTGAGGAGGGTTAATCCTAAATGCCTGCTGATGTTGGGTACATTCCCTCAGGAGGAAATCTAGAAGGGAAAGAAGGAAATGAGGTTTCAGATGGGGTAGGGCCTGCCATTTTGTGGCTGAAGGATCAGGTATAAGAGACTCAGCAGGAACCACTCCAGGGCCCAGAGGGAGCAGAGTATCCTCAGTCCCTGTTTGTCTATGTGAATAGACAGGGACTTGAAGGGCTAACATAGCCAAGGATGCCCTTCCCACTGATGGCTACACCAGCACTTGCCACCATTCCAACTTGCCTCAAGACTCAGTGGCCAGCAGGTCTCCAACCCCCCTGGCCGACCCAGCCCCGAAGCCTGCATGCCTCAGGTGCACAGTTTGGTCTAGAAGGGTGCAAGGCAGAGTGGAGCCACGAAGGCAGCATCTCGGCCTCCTGGGCAAGGGGGGTGGGAGGGTGGAGGTATTCCATCAGGTACCAGAACAAGTGGTGACCCCTGCCTGGCCTCATGTCCAGGTTCTCTTAAGTCCAGGCTGTAAGTGTTGCTACAGCATCTGGTACTTGCCAGATGGCTCAGTGGATAAGTGCCTGCCACATAAACACCAGTACCTGAGTACAAGCACACACCCCTGTCCCAACACACAGAAAAACAGGAATCAAAGTCATTAAGACAACCATTTACCACGCACAAACAGAAGGCATTAGCTAGGAGCCAATGAAACAGGAATGGTTTCCTGGGACACGGAGATGGTGAGGGCTTTGTCTCCTAACTCTTAGAAGTATTTGGGGGGGATAGGGAAGGAGAAAGAGAGAGAGAGAGAGAGGAGCTCCAAAAATCTAATCATCACACGAGCTGGTAAAGTATGCACAGCTTCAAGCTCCTCGCAGGCCCCATTTCACCTGCCTATGCTGGGCGTCTAAACAGTGAAGGGCTCTGTCAGTGGGCAGCCCCTGAAGGAAGTATGCACAGTCCACGTTGGGCCATGGTGAAGGCCTGCCAGGAGGATCTCCCCTGTCTGTCTGGAGGAGATAGAGAGGGTTCAAGGACAGGCAAGCGTCCCAGTGAAGGCGCTCTCCAGATGTGAGGCAGGACCCACAGCCCAGCCACACCCAGGGAGGATGGACTCACCGCTCAGGATGGACGTGCTGTTTTCCAGAGCCTGGCACACAGCTGACACGATACCTGTGAGGGAAGCAGAGAGGATGGGTAAGTGTCTCCTCGGAAAAGGGCTTCCTTGGAGGTCAAATACTTTGAAAGGCAAGGACTTCAGAATTTCATGAAGGGGCCAACAGGTGTGACTAGCTGTCTTCTTTGAGGGGCTTGGTGCAAAACGAAAGCAGAGGCCCCTTGTACCAAGACTGAGAGAAATATGGCAGAGGGAACTATCAGCGTTTCCCTCTGGCTGTAGTCGCCTCCACCTGTTTCTGTTCGCTGGGTGTGCTGCTGCTGTCTTTTGGGTGTGAAGATACTCGTGGGTTGGGTACAGCACCCCAGACTCACACAGGGGCCCCCCGAGTGACAGTTAGACTTCCTTCTAGCTGAAGCAATGTGCGGAGACATAGCTGGGGTCTGGTAAGGTATTTCTGCTTCCTTGGGATTGGCTGTCCTTAGCCAAGAAGGACGGTGACCCCAGAGCATTGCACACCACAGCCAGGATGTATGAGGAGCCTGGCTGAGGCCAGATGGGAGAACTGTCACCACACTCTTCCTTGAGAGGTCATGGGCTGTGTTCAGTATGCCCAGGCCTCGTTAGGTACAGAGAATGGTAGGGACAATGACCCATGGTTGGAAGCTCAGTGACCCTGAGAATCAAGGCTCCCAAAGACTTCCCTCACGAGATACAGACTCTAAGATAGTCATGAGGATTCCGAGAAAGTACAGCATCAACCCACATGCAGGGCCTCTCTGTTTCCCATAAAGCTACCTCTGCCAACAGGTGACCTGTACTTGCCCTCGTGTTACAGGGGTGGAAGTCTCTGGAAACACAGCAGTAAGTTCTCATAAAAAAAGGAAGCTCTTACGAGTTTTGCCCTCTTCACGAATTAACTTCCTCAAACTGAAAGGCGGTGAGGTGGTGAGGTGCCTCAGGCAGTCCTGCAGAGGAGCTTAAGCCACTGCAGAAATCAAGATAAGTCTTGTCTAGCCCTCTACCACATGACCTCAGAGGGTGCAATGGTGGGCTTCTGTTCCTCAGAGGCGCTTCCTTCCTACAGCCCACACATTCACAGGGTCCCCAGACACATTTCAAAGGGACATCTGCCACGCACACACCCATTCCTGCCAGAGCCAGAAAACGTTGGGGGTTATGCCCTCAGAGCTGTGGGATAGTCATGTCTTTACACTGTGGGCACTGCCACAAACCATTCTGGGCTGAAACCAGCCAGTGACCCGTAATCAGTCAAGGCTGACATGGAGATGCCTGGCATACCTCAGGACAAGGAGCATGACCAGCCTGTCAGCAACTGTCCTCAAACCACTGAGTGATCCTTGTGCCGCCTCCCTGTCTGAACCCTGCCTATCAGGGCAGACAGCACAAACCCAGCCCCCCAGCCTGGCCCTACCAGCTTCAGGAGCAAAGGCAGGAGAGAGCGTGTGTGCTGGGGCTAGGCCCCTGGCACAAGCCCCTTCATCCTTCTGCTTCTCACCTGTCAGCTGCCAACTGCCAAACTCTCTAAGGCATTTCAGGAATTAATTACTGGCTAGAGAACACATGTTCCTCTGAGCAACGAACAACACGTTTTTATTTATGACTCTAGAAGGGTGAGAATAATAGTTCCCTTCTGTACCCTCCGTTTCCATGATGATGAGTTCCGCCTTTCTCCTCAGGTGGGGTCCCACTGTTTCACAATCCACACAGGCTTCCGCAGACATTCTTACTGCGTCCTTTCCACGACCCTAGATGCAGGTTCCTCCCAGCAGCCCCTGCCCCTGGGGGTGCCCAGGAAACAGAGGCTTAGAAAGATTCAGAAATCTGCGCAGATCTCCTATGCTACATTGAGACTTGGGTCTGCCCCCTTGCAACATGCAAAACACTGTTTCGTGGATGTACCCTGGTTGGTCTTGCCACACCAGCAAGTGTGTTTCCACCCAGGATGACCCTCCTGGCTTAACCCACAGACCTGGCAGGCCCAGAGGTCTTCCAGAGGCTACAACCTCACCTCCTGGGATTTTTCTCCTTGCCCTCAGTTTACCCATAAGCCAGGCCTGAGGGCTTCTCCATCTGCATACTCTGGGTAGCCAGTGGTGTGTGACCTAGTATCGGAAGGCCTTCTAGGAACATGTTGCCTTGGCAGACAGGAGGCTCTGAAAAGCCAAGGGGCCACCACAGAGCTGGCTGTCACCACCAGGGCTCAGAAAGACACAGCCTAGGCTCAGGCTCGGCATCAGGCAGGAGCCGTCAGTCCCTCTAGGCTAAGTGTCAAAGCCACCTGGCACTGGTCCCAAGGATGGGAAGGCAGGCTGTAGAGCCACCCAACCAGCTCTACTTCGGGACAGGCATCCTTTCAAGGCTGTCCTGCCAGGGTCTCATTCTCCTGTCCGGCTAAATAGCTCCAAAGCGGGAAATCCCAGCTGCAGACTTTAAAAAGAAAAGGAGGGCAGTGGGTGGTGTTGAAGGGGAAGCACACACAGCAGAAGTGTATGTGTAGGGAGGCCTGGTTCCTGCTCCCAACACAGAACTGGAACCCAGGCCCTCAAGGCAGGGTGAGCTCTCCGTGCTTGCAATGCTGCTGTTTGCCACTTAAAAACTTCTGATAGAAACAAGGTGATAGGCAAAGCTGACCCATGCATGGGGGCGGGGGGCATGAAGTGGAGCCACCCCCAAGCCTCTCCATGATGGAATAGTGGGAAATGCCACCGTGAGAGGCTGAACACTCCTGTTCCCCCAGGTCCCAGAGCAGGGGCGTCTACACTTCAGCCCCACTCCTGACTGAGAGTGACAGTCTGGACAAAGACTGTGCTTTCAGACTGGGACAGATCCCTCTGTCCTCAATTGCCTATCACTGGGCAGTCCTCTCCTGGGGGATCTTCAGCTGCAGTGCCCAGGCCTGAGAGGGCCATCTTAGACTGCCCTGGCAAAGGTGAGTATGCCATGCCATGGCTTCTGTTACAGCCCATGTCTGCTCCTAGGCTCCTACCTCCTCCACTGGATGGCTCAGTGGGAACCTCGAAGCAGTGCCGCATCTCACCTATGTTTGGACCTCTATGCTTGGTTTCAAGGAAAGAGCGAGGTTGGATGAGGTTCTGGGGTCAAGGAAAGATGGGGAGGTGGATCATGGTCACAGCAGGTGCCTTTGGGCACAGATGCTCTGGGTTCAAAAACAGCAGGGGTGGGATGGGCAGAAGCTGGGCTAAAGTGGGACAGAAGGATACAGGAGCACATGGTGAAGGGGTGCCTGCTAGCCTCCCCTTCTTCTTCTCTATCTCATTTGAGGTAGAGAGTATGAGGACAGAGGAGGAACCAAGGAAGATATGAATAGCCTCCCAGTGGGACCCTGTAGCTTGGCACAAGGTCTCTAGGGCTCCCCATGGCATGAGAATACCTAGAAATGGGTGACCCAGATTCTAGTCCCCGCTAGCACAGACCAGTAAGCACCTTGCCTTACAAATTCCCCAGTGGAGAAGAGCCTCCATGCCTCTCCTGGGAAGAGGCAGTCAGTTTATACTTTGCCCTGCTCCCAGAGGTCCTGTGTACCAGCTTAGAGGACATTAGGCAAAGCTGCTGAGGGACGTCGGGGGAACTGGCCAGACAGGACAAAGAGAACTCTGGGGACAGTGAGGCAAGGTGTTTGGAAAGACAAGAGACCCAAGAATGAGTCACTTAGACAGATGGCCCCATGGGACAGAGGGCTCTTTTCATAGCCACCATACCTCTAGACCAGTCTTCCAAATCACAGTCGGGACTCTGACATCTAGGAAGAGAATTTGGTGGGGAGCTCACTGGCAAAGGTCTATACTGTACTGGAGTTACAGATGGTTGTGGGTCTAGGAACAGAGCCTGGGCCTCTGGAGGAACAAGTGCTCCTAACTGCTGAGCCATCTCCTCAGCCCCTTGTTAGTTTGTATGGACACAGGGTGTTTGTCTGGCCTGGAACTCCAGTGAGCCCCAGGATCTTCCTGTCTCTGTATCCATATTCTGGGGTACAAGTACACACCATTGGACCTGGCTTTTTCCACAGATTCTGAGGGTCAAACTCAGAACTCCTCATACTTGCAGGGCAACCGCTTTAATGATCAAACAATCTCCCCCAATATATAGATTGGAATTTTATTTTGGAATATTTGTATGTAGATACTGAGATATCTTGGGAGCAGGAGCAAAATCCAACAGAAGATTAATTTGTGTCATATGTATGTTCTATGAATAGACTTTGCGGCATTTGGCTCAGCAATTTTAGGGTGCTAGGGTGCCTGCCTGGTGACTGTGACCTACTCCAGAAGGCCAGATGTGGAATCTTCCACTTGAAGCCTCACATGGGTATTTAAAAGCTTTTCGATTTTGGATTCAGGCTTTCAGTCTAGGGACACACAACCTGTATAATGCTCCTGCTTTGGAGGTGAGAAGATCCCAGCATGGCACTGGGCTGTAGGCTCCATCCCAAGCCCAGGTGTGGCAGCTCCCATCTGTAACCCCAAAGTCAGGAAGTAGAGATGACAGCATCAGAGGTTCAAGGCCATCCTCAGCTACACAGGGAGTTCAAGGACAGCTGAGCCACTTGAGACCATGACTCAAGAAAAAAAAAAAAAAAAAAAGAAGAAGAAGAAAGAAAGAAAGAAAAAAAAAACCCCAAAAACCAAACACCAAATCCCCTCTCTTTTTCCCTTTTGGCTAAGGCCAGGCATTCTCATTCAGGAGAATGGGGGAATGCAGGCAGACAGGAGCCCACAGCCTAGGTTTGTGTAGGGCTGTGTTTTCTTTAGCAAGTTCTCCTCCTCTCCTGTCACCCCCTCCTCTTTTTCTGCCATGTAGTTCAGACAGGTCTTGAACTCACAGCACTCTTCCTGTCTCAGCCTCCTGAGAACTGGGATTATAAGCACGTGCCACCATGTCTGGGCCAGTTTCCTCTTTGTCCATCTTGGACGCTGTCTATAGATGGCAGAGCCGGTTGAGACTGGCCAAATCTCCAGGCATCTATGAAGACAGAGGGCTGTCCACCTTCTCAGCCAGCTAGCTGGGGACAGCT